TTTTTTTTTTGATAATCCGTTTTAAAATAAAGATTGATTAGTACAATTGAATTTGAAAAATACCCGTAATGAATTATGAATGTCACCGATTCACGTTATTTGATTTTCCGAGAGGGATGATACAGTATATTGTAAACAATTTGAAAATTACAAAATTTCACAAAGCTATTGATAGTAACTTCACAGTTCTCGGTAAGTAATGCATGATGGATATTTTGCCACGAAGTGGCAAAATCCACCAATAAATGCATTGCTCATAGTAACTGTTATTCAACCACAACCAAAGTATAATTATCATATGTGGTTGTGTAATTAATATTGATATAACATGTGTGCAATTATCTAAATATGGTCGTGTTTTGTGATCTGCTGCCCATTTTTGTCACCATCTATTAAATTGATTGCTTAAAACATCGAACAATTTTATTTTTTTTTATTTTCTGAAAAGCTATTAAAAAAGAATTAAATCTTTAAAACTTCCTGCAACATTGATGAAATCAAGCTTGCAAGATGACTATTTAAAAAGAGCTTTTATGAAATTGTTATCCTTATTTTATCAGGAACACTGAGGATTGGTACCCTTCAAAAGATAAAAAAAAAGATTAATATGGTAGGATGTTACATATTGAATTCATTTATTCATATTTTTTCTCTTCTTTTTATTTATAACATCAGATATGACTACAAAAATCCAAAAAATCTATAATCTTACACGTTATAACATATCATTATTAAGAGATATACTCGGAAAATGACATGTTGTGAAACGATCGATTTTTTTTTTTTTTTTAAAAAAAAAAAAAGAAATAGAAAAAAAAAAAAAAAAGATTTACGGTAAAGTTATTTTTTTTTTTTTCCTGCCAAAAAAAATAAAAAAAGTTTTATTCAACCAAAAGATAAAAAAAATATAATGAACACTCAAAATAAATATCTACATACATATCGACATTTGTTTGTCTTGTAAGAGCGATATAATACAATTCTTTTCTGATACTGTAAGTGATTTATTTTCGAGTATTGAACGGCAAGCTGAGTTCCAATCTTGCTGGCTTGCTTCTCGTACTGCGGAAGCGACAGCGATGGCTACAATATGCGCTCTATTTGAACCTTCAGCATTAATCTCTTCGTCATTAATGGTTGTAGAATTTGTGAATGGCATTTATATTATTATTATCTTTCGAAATTTAATAAATTACATACTATAAATAGTGAGGTCCCTTGGTTACCTCTCGTGCATTACAAATTTCAACAACAAAAAAAGAAACACCACACTTACCAGCAAAAATTAAAGAAATCGATATATTTAAAAAAAAAAAAATGGAAAAAATTTAAAAAGAATGTGGCTGTAATTATATTATATATAAACAAAAATTTTATAGTTTGAATAATCGCGTTAAATAAATTTCCCGTTTGCTTGAATCTAGACCATGAAACATGGGTCTTTAAGTGGCGTCTATGCAGTGATACAGATCATCAGAGCTTGAATTGTAAAATAATCTTGATGAATATCTTGATTCACGAAAAAAAAAAAAAATCTAGACCAGATGATTAATCCTTTTTGAAGTAGTATTTGTTAAAAACCGAACAGATTAGTATCGAGTAAATGTTGGTCTGATAAATTTAAAATTTTTATAGAAGGCTAAAAAATTTCAAAGTCTAGCCGTTTTAAAATGATTAGAAACCGGAAATAGCATACGGATTTTTATATACGCGTGTATTAAAACCATACTTTCTAGTCTCCATAAAAAAGCATTATTAATGTAATATTCTCCATCACGGTTAATCACAAAAAAGTAGCGCAGCAATTCCAAAAAGTGCAGCACCCCATTAAGCTTTATCAGGAGAAGTAAAAAAATATCCAATTTCCCAAATGACTTAAAGAAAGGAAACTTTTCTATGTTATCACGTTTTATCAGATGATGATCTGTCAACTGACATCTGACGCACTTGTGCTTCAAATAACCATAAATCCCCGGTAACAGACTAAAAAACTTTTTTGGTTTTGGGGGTTTGGTATCCCCACTCCAGAAAATTCGAATTTTTTTGATTTTCTAAAAACTTGCGTGATTGAATCTCTCCTGGAATTGAGTTTTTTTTTTTTTTAAAAAAAATTTATATCACTATTAACCAATAAAAAATTCGATTCTGCAAGTTAAATAATCATTTTTGCATATTTAGAAAGTTGGTTTTGTCCATTTATAGTATTTTGTCATGATAGTTGAAAAAGAACAACTTATTTATTTATTTTTTTTTTTTTTTTTGCAAAACAGCATCCATTCGAGTTAACGCAAAAACATTTATTTGTCTTTGTAATAATGTATATTTAAACTTATACAAAAAACAAGTTCCTTTTTTGCTTATTTCTTTTAAGAAAAAAAAATCTATGAATTTTTTTTTGTATGGTTATAGTATAAAAATTGTTTGTTTGTTGTGAATCCTATTAAAGTTTTCATATTTAACCTGAATTATTACTTAATACATTCTCAATCTCAATCATTTTTCCATTTCATTATCATTCATCATTTTTGATTATATCAAGACGCTCATAATCATCTAGGTTACCTAAATTTTCGTATTCTTTCATCTCCAGTTCTAGTTGAGATAATTTCCCAATTGTTTGATTGTATTCAACCCGTAAATTGTCATATTTAAATTTATACATTGGAGGGTCAATTTCATTAAACCTATCTTGAATTTCCTCTATGAGATCTACTAAAATACCATTCTGAAACTCCAAGAGGTCTGCCTTTGCGGTTTGTTCTTTGCTACTTAACTTTTCAACATTGGCATCATCGATTGCTTTCCACATGGCATAAAAATTCACCCTGGATTCACGTCGTAGATATTTTGACCATTCCAAATCAGAATTTATTCCAATGATAGATGAAGTTAATGCAATAACTAATAATCCGGATATGGTTGTTAATGTAGCAAGAAATCGTCCAAGAAGTGTGATTGGTAAGTCGTCTCCATATCCGGTTGTTGTCATCGCAGTTATACTAAAATAAAAACAATGAAACACGGATTGGAACGGACTTTTCTCTTTGGTTCCGTCCGGTAATGTTCTATACCAAGTTTCTGTATATGACTCGAATTCTCCCCTTTCGACATAATATATAAGTATTGACGAAATCACCATTACAAGTATTAAATAAAGTAAATTTAAAATGATTTGATATGCCGAGATTAAAAATACATTGGTCGCAATCTGAACAAGAAAGAAAAAAAAAAAAAAACTTTTGAAGTGTGATATTATGTAATTTCAAAAAAAAAGAAAAAAGAAAAAATTAAATATACCATGAATCCATCAGAAATCCTTCCTATATGTTGCAATGATTTGATGATTCTCGTCACTCGTAGAATTCTTACAAATCGAAGATATGACTCATTGGAAAAGGGATGAACGATTTGAATATAAAATGGAACGATTGAAATTAAATTCAACAAATTTAAGGGATGAACCAAGAATTTAAGCTTATTTATAGAAGCATAATATCTTCCCAAATATTCCAAGGTGAATATAAACACTACCAAAATATCGGATGGAAACCTAAAACAATTCCAACACTATCTTAGCATATCTTTTTTTAATAAAAAAAATATATATATATAGATTTTCAATTACCATATGCGCACATTGACTTGTTTAATTATGAAAACTGTTGGTAAGGAATCAATACAAATCACAGTTATTGTAATCAATACACAGAGGAGAGAAACAAATGAATAAAGTTGAGCCCATTTCGATCGAGGTTCTTCAAAGAAATAATAAAATTTCCTTTGTAAAGGCGTTCGATATAGATCATCAGAATCTAGTTGATGCGTATCCTTAATGGTAAAACCACAAAGGTAAGATGATGACACCTTTTTTTTTTAAATAAAAAAAATAAATAAAAGAAAAAAGATTACGTGGTGTAAAGGGTAAAGATCCTTTCTGATTTTGGTAAATTTATATCGGTCATTTTCGACATTATCTTCATTTTGAAATTGATCATAATCGATGGATACCGGTTCAGCATCAGTGCTTCTATTATTTAAATAATAATAATAATAATAACAATAAATAATAATATGATAAATAATCATGATAATTAATTCATCTTGTAATTTTTTAAAACAAAATCTATTATTCAGTTATCTATTTACATGCTATTTACATGGTAAATAGGAAACGGTTCAAGCCTATCGGAAATAATATTTTTGGGACCAATTTGGGAACGTCTTAATGGATTATCAACAAGATCCATGGGGGTGTTGTGTATGTGTTTAGATAGGCATTAGATTTACAAATTAAAAATTTTTTGGTCGACAAACAGAATAAATTTACTCCTTAATTGTTAGCGACTTTATATTATTTTTTGAAACGCCCAAATGTAATGCGTTGAGCATTTAAGTTATATATGGATGCAATTTTGTAGATCCTCAAAAATTCCTGGGCTCCCAAAAAAGCGAAAACAATAATAATAATATCATTTAACTAAACCATTTTTGTAAAAATTCATCATACTTTCCATTTCAGACTAGCTTTGGGACAAACCTCTTTATTTAATTATCTCCTTCGTATTGGTTTTCTTCTTGATTGGATATTAGTAATGAAGAGATCTCCTTGGTCATTTGATCATAGATACAACTTTAAGTTCATATTGAAATTAATTAAAACACGTGTAATTCTTTTGATAAGTCATTGTCGGCCAATTCCGTATCAGATAGCAATGATAACGGGGAAAGAACAGTTTGTTCTTTTATCTCCAACAGTTTTATGATAACTGGAAAAGCAGTAGAACACAAATTTGCTTTGCTTTATCGCATCTGCATGAGATAGAAAATTTCGAAAAGTATTACTTGACTCCGAAAATGAGGTAAAATATACTTTAAATAGTTATCAATAGACTAACTAACCTTTTTGTTTGTTTATTCTTAATCATCAGTTTTTCCTTGATAAAACAATGAAATATATCTGCGATAAAAATATTTATCGTTAATCGAAATGGGTATTTGAACCTGCCAAAAGATAGGGTAAATCGTTTTTCACGTATTTGAATAAAATTGAGAAATTTTGAAAGGTCTCGATTTAGGATTCTTAATAAACCATCCATGTAACTCAAGCCATTCTACATGAAACGAGAAAAAAACATCAACCACCAAATTAACTAAAATAGGCAATTCCTTTAAAATAATTTTCCAACGTTGTAATTGCTTTTTTCCGATTTTAAAATTTTCCAATGTAAATGAATTAATGCGATTACATGCATTCAAAGTTACTAAACTCACAATCAATCACCTTCCTATTAGATGTTAGATATCAGGGAGGGTGAGAAAATTACGTCAATCCCAAATATCAAAAAATCGGCCGAATGCAGCTTTATTTATAAACACAAGAAGTCAACGTGACTCCAATTGGTCTAAATTGATGAATACGCATCATCTAATTTTTTTGATAAACCCATTTTTACTTTTTTAAATTTGCATCCCTCTTTTGATAAAGAACGAGATTATCAGACATAGTAAACAACAAACAAATCCTGAGGTGAAAATTTTTTTGATTTTGCTGTTTATCGTCTCACTACCTTTGATTACGACTTTGCTTTGTTTTATCAATTAATATCGTATAAATATTCATTTGTAAATTTAAATTTTAACCAGCATTTTCCTTTGATATATATTTTTTTTTTTTCAGATATTTTTCTGAAACACGCTCTCTTTCTTATTTAGATATATATTATTTATTATATATATTACATAGATTTTTTTTATATTTTATTTATCAAATAACTTAAAAAGTTCGGTTGTTTTGATTTTAAAGTTTATTTTATTTTTTTTTTTTTTCTCGCATTATTATGATGTTCCGAGATTCTCAATGGATCAATCAAAAATCAAAACAAAAAAAGTCTAAACGTAGACACGTAGATTCAACAATTTCCGACACTTCCTCGATAATTACTAAAAACAGTCAACGTAACGATGACGAAATGGATTCAACCAGTCAAGGATTTTATGATCCTTTGCCGCCTTCAGATTCCAAAGAATTACGAAATATTGAAGGGGGAGAATATTTTTTACCAAGCGCTGACAAAAATATTGAAAGATTACAAATGCAACACTTTTTATTCAGATGTATTTGGCAATCAAATTATTCTGCCCCAGTTGAAGAATTTTTCGAGCCTAGCGGCGCGAAGGTATTAGACGTTCAGTAAGTATTTTTTTTTACCTTTACATTTTAAAGATCCCCGCGTTGATTCGTATAATCTAACTCGCCATATAATATAATAGATGTGGCAGTGGTATTTGGATGAGCGATCTGGCCAACGAGTTTCCTAATTCGACATTTGTCGGCGTAGATGATGATTCAGACCGTGCTAGAATAGAAATTCAATTACCCAATGCCGCATTTCTTCATCACAATATAAAAGATGGTTTACCCTTTCCCGAAGACACCTTTGATTTTGTCCATCAAAGATTTTTTACTTCTGTAAGTGAAGTTGATTGGCGAAAATATATGTTGCTGGACATGATCAGAGTATTGAAACCTGGAGGATTGATAGAGTTGATGGAAATGTCTCGTTTATCCAATGCTGGTCACGTGACGATAAAAATGTTTGAGGCTTGTATGTATATTCCACCGTGATTGACGATCAATTGTTGTTGATGTTAACCTTTTTTTTTTTTGCTATGATCAATAGATGAAAAGTTTAATTTGTCGAGAGAAGTTTATCAGTTGGATCCTCACGGATTTCAACAAGCCTTAAAATCCACAGAATTGATTAAATCCATAGAATCAGAGTACAGGATTACTCCACTCTTTGGTGGAAGAGCTTCTCAACTGGTAAATTAGTTTGGTATAAATGTTATTCCAACTTTTTGTAAATGTTCATGGGACTCACCACGCAATGTTTCTTAGGTTTGTCAAAATATATTTAAACGATTTGAAACAAAGAAAAAAGAATTTTGTGAATTTTTGAATTTAAGCGAATCAGAACTTGATGAGAATTTAGAGAAGATGCGTGAAGAAGTTATTAAACACAACACCTATTGTAAAACTTTCAGGTAGAGATCCATATATAATCTCACTTTTGGGCAAACTTCTTGCTAAATTGGCGAAATTCATTTTTCTTTGTTTTTAGGGTTTACGGAAAAAAGATATGAATGGCCATCTATTTATATGATAAAATCGAATTTTTAAGCTGTATATATATATATTATTATGTCTTTTTATTAACTTAGAGTTAGAGTAATCACTATAAAATATCAAATTAGTTATAAGTAAAACGATGATTTCATATATGTTTATTATCCTATAGAAAAATATAATACAAGATTTTTGATCACATGTATATAATTATTTATAAAAAAAAAAAATCACAATTACAAATTCCCAATTAACAGCACTATTTAGACTATTTAGTTGATTTCATTTTTTTACGGCCTTGTTATGAAATAGGAGAACCAACCCTTTTTTTTTAAAAAAAAAAAAAATTAATAATCTTTCTTTTATATTTATTTATTCGGAATAAATTAAATAATTTGTTAACATACCAACTATAACAATCAATTTAATCATCATGATTAATACAATTAACCAAAATTTCCTTTCGCCAAACCACGCGAATCTCATATGAGATGATGTTTTTACGCCTTGGTTGAAGGGTGTGGAAGTTTCATTATTTATGTCATGTTTGTGATCTTGTGAACAATTTATATTTATGCTGGTTGAAAAGTTGTCAACTTGCATAGTCGTGCCTTCTTGTAATTGAGAATCTTTCATATTTAAAAAAATTTTTTACAAGTATTTTTTTTTTTAAAAAAAAGAAACAAAGTACCTTATTAGTTAAAAGAAAGAGGGAAAAGGGATAATGCATTGTACCTCACATGCAAATCAAAACGTTTCCTAATAAAGCAAGTTCTTTATTGGTACCACAACTCTATTACAAATTAGTGGTAACACTGGCGCAACACAATCATCATTACATAATTGTTGATTTATTATAAAAAATATATTAACAAAGATTAAAGGATTCTTTACGAATTTTATTTCTTTTCAAATAATGTCAGAAAATCTTCCGGTACGGATTCGCTTCAGCGATTAATTAAAGTTATATATTCTTTGTGAATGAATAATAATTGATCGATTTTGACTTATCAGAAAGTAAATAGTTTGGGTCAAAATTTCGATCCTGTCAATAAGATCCATGAACACATTTGTGGTTTCCATTTTTACAGGTGAGACATATAATTAACTCTTTACAAATTTTTTTTATTTGCGAAATTATCTATTTAAAAAACGTGAATTTTTTTTTTTTCGTTCCAAAAGTCACGATATGTCTCGTCAAGTAGAAGCTCATCATTATTGCAGTCACCTTAAAGATGAAATGCGTCAATGCGTTATTTACGATTCTAATAGACCTGACGCACGATTGATTGGCGTTGAATATATTATCTCGGCTAGGCTATTTCAAAGTACAAGCAATGTGCAGGATTGAATTTGAATACAAAGTCATGTGCCAATGCTAATCCACGGCGAAATACCTTTTTAGGTCTTCCTGAAGAAGAAAAAATCTATTGGCATTCTCACGTTTATGAGGTAAAGTCGGGTATGTTGATTTGCCCCTTTATACCGGTGGTGCCACAAGCAGCTGTCGATAAAGCTGAAAAGGTGGTTATGGAAGAACTAATCGATACTTATGGAAAAGTGAGAATTTCCTTTTTTTTTTCCTTCTTTCGTTCTTTTTTAAGATAATATGTCAAGTAACCAACTTTCAAAAAGACCTGGCATTTTTGGCAAGTTGACCGTGGGGATCCTTTACCATATGGTAACAATCTTCTTTTCGGTACATCATTCGATGACTTTGTATCCGTTGTATTGATTGATATTCATTCGTTCTTAGGACCGCCTCAACTTATGATGGCATTTCTTGACGATTTTCAACTTTCACAGAAAATATTGGACGATCGTGATAGGAGATTTAATGTTTCTACAGCCCATTACCGTAAAAATAGAGAGAATATTCATCCAAAGTGTAATCGTGACCTTAAGGCTGATCATTGGGCTTCACGAGATGATGGCATGGCCTATCAAACTGAAATGAAATTGGTCGAACAAAAAGCGTTGCCAACCAAAGAACAAAGGAGCGTTCAAAAGTAATGAACGCTTCACATTTTTGAATCGTTGATGATTAGTACTTTTTATTATTACTCAAGAAACTCACTTATCCATGATAATTCATTTCTTTGGTTGCTCTTTATTTAATAAAAGATATCATCTTGGCATTTTTTTTTTTTTTCTTAACATAATTTTATTTTAATCCTCGGCGCATAATAAAGGATCAGTTACGTGACATCTATAGTTGCCTGGCAAAACTCATTTTAGCAAATGGCAAAAGTCGAAACCCTATATTTCGACGGATTTGTTAATAAGTATATGATATAGTTTTGACTTTTGACGGGATTTTATTATGGTTTCGGGTTTGCCAATAAGGTTTTATTACAGTTTTGCCAATGACCCCGTCGAAACCCGAGAGTTTTTGTTTCGAAGTCTTTTTTTTTTTTTTGGGGGGTGTCCGTATTAACGTGAGGTTTTCTTATGACCTGCATTCGTTCGTTTGTCAGGATTAAAAAAAAAATAAACCAAGTTTGATTTGATTCGTTCTCGAGTTCATGCGACATCTGGAGAGGTTTACCGGATCAAAATAAATCCATCATTATACAGTAAATTTATGTTGAAATTTAACAAATTAACCGTAAAAGAGCGTAAAGGACACCACCGAGTTTGATTTATTTAATCCTATTATAACGGAAACTTTTTTTTTAAATGTATTTCTAACTGGAATATTTCTGATTTGATTAAAGTTGTTACACCAATTAAATTGTGTTTATTTTTAACACAGCGATTCAACTCTTTACATGTATAATGATTCATATAAAGAAGTAAAACCGTAATTTGGATGCAAAAGGAGGGAAATTCCAATCAAAGTTCATGTTCTATCATTTCGTGATTTCGTAAAGCTGGGGGTTGGTTTTTTTTTTTTTTCGACGTTTCGATGATTTTTGCAATGTGTGGATTTCAATATTTTTTTTTTTTTTTTTTTTTTTTTTTTTCCATGCACAAGTCATAAATAAAATGAACTGATCAGATAGATTTTTTTTTTTAAAAAAAAAAAAAAAAAAAACTGGTTATCTTTACATAAGTAACTGGAATGATTCAAAAATGTAACAATTTATTAATTAAACTTTCACGATATGAAATCAACCCATAGTAAAATAGATCATGCACATTTATCAGAATTCCTTTAGAACATCCATCTTACCGTTTTTTATATTAAAGAAAATCACCACGCGGAAGCACAAACTACCTAATCAACCACGAAGCTACATCTTTTTCAAGTTATTTTCCTGAATCACAAACCGTTGAAAAAAAAAAAAATTTTATTTTTATCATCTTACGAATGGAATTTTCTAAAAAAAAAAAGATTTTTTTTTTTTTTTTCAATTGTTTGAGCTTACATAACCCATTCTCAATCGTCTTGTCAATGCATAATATTAATTTATGAAAAATCGATCTATTTAGAGAACGTGGAAGCACGTTATATAAAATAAAAGAAAGGGGGGATGTAATAAAAACAATAAACCGAAAAAAGGAAAGTGAGTGAAACAAAAAGAAATTTTTTTATTAATCGGAAATGGTTAAATTAATTTTTTTTTTAAAAAAAAAAAGAGATTAAAACAATCATTGTGAGCAAAATATAAATAAATCAATCACAATAATTTCTTTTAAGGAAAATAGTTATTTTTTAATTATATCCATTTAATAAATAAACCTGTACTTTGTGTTCAACGAAAAAGGTTTTACCAGAACAAAGTCGTAACAGGTTTTACAAAATCATGAATGGTGGTAACATGTGTTAAACACATCCAATGGGTTTCCGCTCACATCCGTTTAGGGCCATATGGTTAAAAAAGCGACGAATTAAATTAGCTAAAGGTCGAAAGGAATTAAAAATTTTCTTTGCTTCTTTTTTTTTTTTTTTTTTTTTTTAATAAATAATAACAATAAATAAATATGACATCAAACTATGCGAAACAGCAACACGAGGATCTTTCTTATTTTTAGGTTGAAATTTATGGCACTTGGGCGTCCATGGGAAAATGAAAAAAACTGTCCATTATCATCACACTTCGAGAAGTTATTTTCAGAATTCGGTAGACATTCTTCATCACACTTATTATCCAAATTTAACATTCTTTGAATCAAGGTTTGACAAGGTCGTGAGCACACGTATAGCATGCATTGTAATAACACATCAGTGTGATAACACACATTGAGCTTTTAGCTCAATCTGTTCTTTTTGATTCGAGTTATGCAAAACGAACATGCGCTCCATGTCCCACATTCGTCATCTAAATATTATTAAGATATTTCAATCTAAGAGAGTTTAAATTTAAAGTTTTGACAGTTCATGCTATATTTAGATTCTTTTTATAATTGATTGATAGTTTCATTAGATGTGATAAACTCATTTCCGACATTAGATGATAAACATTACTTTGTTCTTGATTGATGATGGATAAGTTGATGTTATAAATTTTGATATTAATATTGTTATTCCAATTGAGTTATTTTCTCATATTCGTTTACGTTGTTGAGTGATTGTATAAAGAGCAAGGGCACAAATGTTTGTTTATCCTCTGGTATCACCTTCCTTAAATGACGAAAAACATTGCCATGCGAATATTCCCTACATTCCTTGAACCAGGAATGTCATACAACATGACTGGGTTCTGATCTTAGTATTTCTGGTCGATAAAAAATTCTTTGACTATTTAAAGGAAACTCTTCTACAAAAAAAAAAAGGGAAAAGGAAAAAATATATATAAATTATTAAAAAAATAAAATAAAATAAAATAAATTGTACAATAATAATAATTTTTTCTTCATCTTCGCCTAATCGTCTGGCCACCAACTTGACAATCGATCCGAACTTTTCAAAAAAAAAATTACCTCGAGAAAAAAATTCGCGCGTCTTCATAATGGGTTGCCACAAGAGTAAACATTTAGTTGATGATAACGTCCCAGTCAGCCTCGAGGTAGTTAACAATAACATGAATAATAATAATATTAACGGAATCAGCGACAGATTTGCCATCCCTGATGAAGACGGGGAGACATCGTTTTCACAAATGATACATTATGTACACAGGTTTATATGGCAAGGAAATTTCTCTTCGCCGATCATTGAGCGATTGAACGCTGGGAATGCGAGAATATTGAATATTGGATGTGGCCCAGGTCCAGGATGTTGGTTGTTAAATATGGCAAGAGAATATCGATGGGACAATTTTTTCGGTGTAGACGTTGACTCCTCGGTTATTCCTACAAATGTTTCAGATTTAAATGCCATATTCTTAAAGTTGGATACATTAGAGAGGTTACCATTTGCCGCTGAAACATTTGATTTTGTGTTTCTTCGATTCGCATCGTTCACGAAAGAACAATGGCAGGAACGGGTTGTAAACGAACTCGTTCGTGTATGTAAACGCGGCGGGTGGATAGAAATAATGGATTGTGAAAACAAATTTTACAATGAAGGCGAGGCTACGAAACGATTGATGACCGCATGTATGTTTCAAAAAAAAAAGAAAAAATCACCAATGATTTCGCGTCAATTCACTAATCATAATATTTTTTTTTCATTTAGACCGATTTTATCTTGAATCCAGGCAAATCAACCCTCTGATAGGTTCACAATTCGTCAGATTGTTACGTGAGACAGATCAAATTGGCAGCATTAAAAGAGAGGAGAAGGAATGGTTCTTGGGAAATGAAGGAGGACGAGCCGGACAATATTTACTTCGAGATTTCGAATTAAATTTGCAAAATCCAAGAGAGATAATGTCAGAAACTATGGGTTGTACGAAGGAGGAATACGAGGAATTAATTCAGGAATTTCATAATGAAGTCAAAAGATTGAAAACTTCCATAAAGTACGTAAGGGTGTACGGGCAAAAGAATTAAGAGGGGAAGAAATAATGTATATTTGTAATTAGGAAATGTAAATTTGTAAATTAACTAGTTAATCTTACATCCAAAGTAACACACAAAACTTTCATATTTTGAAACACAAAGGATTTCATTGTTTAAACAAAAAAAAAAAATGTGTTGGATGTAACGTCCGATGACAAGGGCGGACGAGTCACATTATACAGAAATCAGGCGCCCCAATTAAAGAGTTGTCATCCTTGTGATTACACGGTCGTAGTGTTTCTTGATTAGTCAATGCAGGGTAACATCATTTTGGGAGTGTTGCTGCGCTTCTATACCATTAACGTCTTTTCGCCTGAATAGGAATGTGCCACGGGCTCAGGTAACGGGTTTGATGTTCTGCGCATTATTCATTTAATGAGTTCCCATGACAGCTTGGGCGTGCATTAAGATTTATAAACAAGTTTAATTAATATTTTCGATACCTAATTTAACCAACAGAATGAACATTCATTCAGTATTGCTAAACCGGGTTATACGGATTTTTTGATAAACCATATTAGTAATTCAATTTTTTTTACGGTTTACCTTAATCACGTTCTCGTGAATTAGGTATTAACACAATGGGAATGACCATCATTAAATGGAAAATGGAAACGAAAGTATTTAGATTTCCTAATTTGGTTCATTCTCATTAAATTTACGAGTCATCTTTCCCCGTACATGACCAATAACCAATAACCAGTATTTCGAATTTATCAGCCGATATATTAAATTTGTAGATTTTTTCCCTTATGGACATTTTAGATAAGGAAGTCAGTCACATGCATCATAATTTTTTTTTGAAAAAAAAAATCTCTTTATTTCTTTTTACATAAGTATTAATTACATTTTTTAATTTTAAACTTACAAATTATCTTACAGATTTACTTATCATAAAGGGTTAGGATTTTTAATTTAAAATAAATTCTAATGTCAATTGTCGTGAAACCAAAGGGTTTCTGAAAGGTTGAAAGAAATTGAGAAATCGCTATTCCACAAACAAAAAAAATCAAAAAAAAAAAAAGTGATGTTTACCTTGTTTTGGGAATTTCGGATATTTCGGAAGTTTTGGAAGTATCGAAAGTTTCGGTTTTTACGAACGACGTTTCGTATGATGTTTTAGATATGGAGGTCTTAAACGTATCGTTTCTTTTAACGAAATTGAATATTATTTTTTTTTGAACTCTTAAAAAATTAAAAAATTTATGATTAAAGTGATTAAAAAAAAAAATGTTATCTTACCTCATATATATTTCGGAAATTTTTTCGGAATCAGAAGTTTTGTTCATAACGGATCTTTTTTAAAAAATAATCCGATCTCGTAAAAATATTTTAAAACTTGCTAAAAGAAGCGATAAAAAATTGCAACCTTACCTTGATATAGTCGCATCGTTGCCAACTAAACCATGGTTACGCGAAGGTCTGGACACGGATAATCCTTTTGTCAAGCGCTGATTGTAATTGTTTTTAACATGATTTGGCGTTCTTCCGTTTTTAAGAAGCTTTGCAATATTTGCCCAACCAAAACCTTGACTACGATAATGGATGACTAATAAATCTTCTTCAGGCGATAATTGATCCTTGTTGACTAGTTTACCAAAAAAAAAAAAAATGAGTATGCAATTAATTATTTACAAATTCTAGCGTTTCAATTAAGAAGAATACCGGTGAAGTCCTTACTTTTTTCGTCGAGATGTCCACAAAATCTTGAAGATAATTCGAAATTACGTTAAAATTTACTTAAATTTCAAAAATGTTTTACATCGAGGAGAGTAACGTACCTTTCTCGACATTGCTTTGCGTCACGAGTTCCCATTTTCGAGGCAATCGTGCGCCATCTTCTAGCGCCATCTTTGTAAACCAATTTTTTTAATTTTGCATCCTCCTAACGATTATAATAATTGCTTTTAAAATCTGCAAATTTATCATGCGCAAATGAATTGACGAGTTATACTGTACCTCTTTACTCCAGTGACCAACATTAATATCTGATGAATTTTGTGCTTTTCTAGTTTGTTTGGTTTCCATTTTATTCATTTTTATAAACAAAAAAGGTAAGAAATTAATATATAATAAAAAATATATACAATGTAATAAATCGAAAAAAATCTATCTAATGAATAAGTAATTTAAAAGGACGTTAGAAACGAACAAAAGAAATTAAGGATTTATCTATTGATCTAGTCGTGAACAAAGGACTTTACACTTTTGTTGGTTTTTTTCCCGAGATAGTTGAGGCTCACTATTTATTAATTTTTCTTCAAGTTGGTCACCTGAATGTGTCAGATGATCAACGATGATTGAAACATTCGGTGATCCAAAAAAAAAAACGTGGAAACTATTTGTTTATTCGTTATGCCATGCATTATCTAAGTTTTGAATTTTTGAAGCCATTTTCTATACCAAAAAACTTATCGGAGATTGTAATAATTTGCCGGAGTTCAACACCGATCATTTGATGATATTATTAATAGTGAAAGGGAAGATCTTCCAAGAAACAGGAAATTAAAATGCAAATCATATTTATTCACGAGACCGAACAATTTTGATTCCTCGACCCAGGACCAGGAATGCGCTGAATACGCCTAAATGAATTTTCCTATTTAAAAGGAAATCATATAAACAAATGGACTATTTAGTATAAAAGTCAAATGAATTGGAAACGAATCATTTCGAGAAAGTTTTTTACGAAAATTTCCGATGTGCCTCATGTGTTTTTCCTTTCTTTCGATACCGTGCAACCCTCATGATGAACTATTTTTCCTGGGAAATTTATAAATTTGGTGTCATCCATGGATGAATGATCATGAGATGACGAATTGCCAAACCGAATTCCATGTTAAGGATTTCTTAAAAGTTTTTGTTGATTGATTACTTTCATATCCAACCTTCTTGAAGATGCAAATCCTTACCGCAATTTAAAAAGCATTTGTGTCGCTTCGAAAATAGAAAGTTATCTTTATTTTTTTTCGCGCTGTTGATTTTGTCATGAGACCGGTCATTAGACCCTTTGTGTTATTAAATAAAACTACAAAATTAAATTTTAAATTGCATTAACTTTATTTAAATTTAAATTTTCTTTGTCCAAAAAAAACTCAAAATAGTAATTCTAATGTTATCTCTTGTATAAGAGGAAAAGCAATTGCATATTTTTTTTTTAATGAATGAACGCTTAAAATAAAAAAAAAAAAGTAGGAATGTGATAGATAGCCTCAGTAGCTGTTGTGGCTTTGTAGCTGTGGTATGCCCGACCCTTCCGATTATCTTGCCGAATTTCTGTGGAAGAATCATGAGAACTGGTATTACCGATTAAGATTAGATCATACTTACTTTTAAAGTTATCTTGAATGTTTCATTTCGGATAAAAAAATTTGCACGTCTTTTTGTTTATTGTTTTGATCTGAAAAGAACACAATGTTAGATTTCTACAAGTTTCGCCGATTCTCGTAAAGGTACGTAAAACAAAATTGTCATTGGAATTGAGAGTTTCTCATCATAAAAAAAAATTCACTCATAAAGGATATTTCAATTCCTTCTTTAGGAAAATGTCATTTGATAAAATATTGATCTTTGGAATTTTTTTTTTTTTTTGTTCAACGAAGGCGATTAGCTGTGCCAAATGCAATAAGTCACATGATGTTTTGTGTCCCCATTACACAAATGAAATGAAATGCATTCTCACTTAATAAGCTTGTTTAACGATGGAAGGAGTCCATGGAACTTCTGTGGTTTCATAACATCACCTTTGAATGAGATTTGGTTAACCTATGTAGAACAAACCTACACAAAGAATTTAATAATGAAAAAAGGCATGCAATTAATGTTATGTTTTGTTTAAATATTTATAAATTTTTTTTTTTCATAAAAAAAAATAAAAATAAATAAAAATAAATAATAATGACAACGAAGACTCTATGTATGTTATTTGACATACCATCTTTGCATAAGAATTTTGTATCGTTTAGGCATTTCGTAATTCATTATACACTCCTACAACAACAAGAAGTATAGGCTCGCTCAAAATTGATTCTAGTATTAAAATTGACATATCATATATTTTATCCAAACAACTTATTGCATGTTTAAAATGTAAGTTTTCTATACATTAAAAATTTCACAACTTTGTTTGCTTGGTTAGAATTAAAATTTGAATCTGCAAGAATCCCATTCGGCTAAAATTTCATTTGTGACGTTCTGATATTACTTTATTCAAAATTGGTATTTTACAGGCTCGGTTAATTTGAGATTAGCCAAGGCGGACTACATGTAATTTGTTATGGACGGTGTAATATTATTTATTCAAAATAACTAAGTTTTTTTTTTTTTTTAGAAAGCCAATTTCACGTGATTATATTAATGCAGGCCGAAAATTTGTAGTTTCGGGCGAGATTAAAATCATTCTTGCCTTTTGATACATCCGAAATAGATTATTTATTATTTTCATAATCTTTATATATGCTCCACAAATTAAGATATCACTACGTAACAAGAATTCGGTAAGTCCGAAGAGCCTCTTTGATTTGGGTTCAATATGACGGGTTTGTGAGACACCTTAGCTAGGACTTCTCTCGTGTATTTTGAAACTTCAATTTTCAAACTAGACTATAGATTTAGGAATAAGGTATTTTGAATTGGTAATTTTGGAGGGACGATACATATTATTTTTGTTATCTTTACACGCAGCACTTGTGGACGGTTTCTTAGTAAGTGGTTAACAGTCTTCATCGGTGCAGGATCGTACGTAGTTTTGGTCTTTAATTCTCTTTAGACGTATTTTCTTTCGTTGAAACTTATTTATAATTTTTTTTTTTACTTTATGAATCGTCAATGTTAATTGTTCAAATTGACCTTCTGCTATTGTTTTAATTCTTCATTTTCCTATGAAATTTAAAAATATTGATATTGACACTATTTTTATACACGTAATATCTAATAAAGAACCAATTTTTGAATTTTTCAATTTTATTTGTTTCTACGAAACTATAAATAAATAAATATCTTTAACCGAGTCACGAGAAGTCGTTTCATTAAACTTGGTGTTTTTTTTTCTTATTCGGGTATTTTATAAATATTAAATAGTAATATTAGATATTTTAAATTATTTTTGACGTATTCTAGGGGATAAATTTTCATTTGCTTGTATATTAAATGCTAATGAAATTATTTTATCAATTATAGAACGTATATGTATGAATCGATTTACCACTTTGACGCGATGTTTTTTTAGTTTCCTATAGCCGAAAATATTGGAACTATGAATGCAGGCCGAACATTATAGTTTCGGGCAAGATTAAAACCTTGAACAAAAAATCACGTGATTATTCAAGCGTAAATCATATTTGGCATATAAAAGTAAAATTGATTTTTTTTTCCGGCAGATTTCCCCTTTCTATTACAAAGGTCCCATGTTAGAGATTTGAAATCAAACAAACAGTCTGGTTGAATTAACTAAAACACGATGTTCGGTCAATTTCAAAAATATAGTGTTTTCGACCATGCTGGAATTTTGTACAACCGACTTTTTATGAGACCATTTTGCTGGGAAAAATGAAAAATAAATAAAGAGTTAATTCTAATTCTGAAAATATTTTTAGATTTTTTTTTTTTTTTTTAGAAAGTCGTGTTCACGTGATTATATATTAACACGGAATCAATAATGCGGGCCGAAATTTGTTGTTTCGGGCAAGGTTTAAAATCATTCCGCCAACTTTTTGGAGGATTTGCTAATAAAAATCGAGTTACGAACATAATAAATCATATGATCCGTTAATAAAAAAAATCAAATTTGGAAAATCGGTAAACAATCAAATCAAGTTGATAGAAAATCTAACCTTGGAAACCTTATTTTTTTAATAAATAAAATTACAAAACCTTCATTTTTCTTGGTTCAATAATTGATACTCCTTTTGTTGTTTTCCTTTCTTTTTTTTTTTTTTTTTTTTTTTTTTTACTTGAGAAAACACTACCTTGCTAAAATGGGTTTGTCAAGAAACAGGTTTTTTTCTATACCGTCAAGCAGTGTTGCATTTAAGGCTGTCCCACACCAAATCGCAAAACTGTCCCTGACTTTGTCCCAACTTTGCCGTCAAGGTTAGTTGTTCAGATAAACTCTTCTGTTATCGTCGAGTTCTCCTTTTTTTCTACAAAGTACTTTATAATTTTTTTTTTTTACTAATTATAAAGCATTGAGTTTAACTACTTTACGCGTAATTTTGAATAAAAGAACGAATTTCTAGGGCGTTGAGGTTTGTGTTTCAAACTTAAATGTTTTTTTTTCTTATTTGCTACAAACGTATGAGAACTATAATAATCTAAAGTGTTTGTTTACTATTTATATTTTACCCTTCTCGTTTTACGAATATCATGTATATATAACTTTTTTTTTAAAAAAAAAAAAAAAAAAAAAAAAAAAATTAGAAAGAAAAAAGAGAAGGAGGACTGCCAAGGTTAGTTATACAAGTGGAATTGATATTTTAAATTTACCACGTTTTATATGCAAGGTCCTAATCAAAATTTTAATATACAATTAACTACTTTCACTAGGGATAGGATTTTTCTTGTATATTATATGAAATCATTTCATAAGATTCATTAATGATTTAATATAATATTTACTTTATTATGAACAATGACTTTACTAGTATTTTTGAATGGAAAAATTATCCAAGTGTAACTTTGACTATACTTAAATTTCACCTCTTTTAAATGCAGTAACTAATTTAATAATGAAATCATTTATAAAATTGAGAATTATTGTTTCTTCAAAATTAAAAAATGGAAAGTGGAAAGGAAAAGGCAATATTAATCAAAATTTCCTTTAATACTACTGCAAGTACCCACATTACCACCAATAAGATCAATATTATTATTGCTGCTGTCGTTGTATTGATGATTATACCACCCGAATAAGTGATTGTCTGGTACACATGTTGTCAATACGTTATTCGGCAAAGGGTTGGGATCTTGTAATTGTTGTTGTTCTTTGATTTGAAAAGATTAAAAAAAAAAAAAAATTAAATTAAATTTTAGATATGATCAATAATCAATCAAATTATTTACCGTTAAACACGTATCCTGGGTCCGACATATTCAGGTTATCTTTTACATTTGTGGTGTCGGTCGTGCCACTCCAGGATGCGTTCGTTTCAGCGATTTCGTTGACTTTTTAAATTTAAAACAATGTATTAATATTACACGATCGTTATGTTATTTATATAAACTGTAATCCTTCTTACCTATTGGTAACCGCACATCGGTGAAATTATAATCTAAAATGAAAGAATGTTTTAAGTAAAAAAAATTATATTTCCGTTTCACGAATGTCAAAGAATTAAAAGCAGACTTTACTTACATCTTGGTCCCAAAATTGAATAATAAATCCTTTCGTTGTCGTCTTCGTTTGATACATCTAAATTAAATAATGATATGATTTAGGTAAGAATTTCACGAACGTTATTATAGAAACTTGAATGGGTGCTCCTCTTTTACCTTGCTTTTCCTCGATTACATTTACTGATGGCGCTATACTTTGGCTTTTCACAGTTGGCTTAAGTTCCACTTTTACCGGACCACGTCTTTTTCCCGGAACAAATATGCACTCAATCCTTCTTTTCTCGCAACTCAAGCACGTTGGGCCAGGTGAACACTTAATTTTTAAAAGCTTACAATTATTGCAGGCAGTTGTCACTTTTGTTCTAGGTGTAATATTACTCATATTTAAAAAATAATAATAAAATTTTTTAAAACTTAAACGCGTTCAAAAAACAAGAAAGAAAGAAAGAAAGAAAGAATATTATATTTATGGATTTTATATTTACAATGAATGTATGAGAGATATTAATTATTATTTGAAAAGGTTTTTTTTTTTTTTAAAAAAAAAAAATGCGCGTTTACAAAAATTTCAAAGTACTTATATATCTAAAAAAAAAAAAAAAAAAAAATTTTTTTTTGGGATTGCGCGTAAAGATTGATTGTCAAAATGTTTTATTGTTGACATTGCTGATTGATTAAATGTATGTCAAGGAGATATGAAAATTTAAAGTTTATGAATTCAATGAAATTCCAAACTTAAAGTTACGCGTCATTACACAAACAGAAAAAGGTCTAGAGCGGGGGTAAAAGTTTTTTTCAAAAAGACACAATATAGTGAATTTAAAGAAAATTTTTTTTTTTTTTTAATAAATTTAATAAATTCTAATTTAAATTGTTTGGTATTGTTTCACATTCCACATTCCTAAAATTCCTTCATGTAATGTAACCAATCCGAGAATTACCGAAGATAATGAAACAGTTTTAAAGGAACAAAGAATAAAATGAAAGAAAAATGATTTCTTGTGAATGCTTTGTTTCGATACTGTGAATCTTTTATATAGTTAAAATTGAAAGTTTAATGTAATTGCCAAATTGATGTAACAAAAACATAAATATTACAACCAACATACCTTTATATAGGAGAAATTCGTTTCACAATGTGAGAATTTTTTATTTATGACTTTCCCCAAAATACAAAATATAGATATATCCGTTTATTTGCTTATGAAAGATTACATCCAAATAAATGGACCACTTTTTTTTGATTGTAAAGTGAGTCATCGGCACTTACCTAATTTAGAGATGATCTGTGGTGGATCAAAAAAAGAACAATCCATCAATCTTCTATCAATTGAAAAATTGGAATATTGGTTTGAATGTATATTTATTTTTATAGGTCAAATTTATTTTTTGGGTTAAAATCAAACTGCATGGCGACCAGAAATTGCAAATTTTTACTCCTTAAGCTTAAATGGTTAATTTATTTGTACTTTAAGTGAATTTGTACAACAATCAATTTATTCAATTTATTCATTTAATTAATATAGCATCATAGGCAGACTTTCCTATGATTGGCTATTGCAGATCAATTAAATTTGGTATTATTTATACAGTTTAAAGTACCTT